GACGGGAGTATCTTATGGTGCCTAGAAATCAGGAAGGCCTACGGAATGACGGGGACAGGTCAAAAGGACACATGAGCCACTTTGAAGGAGCGCTTACTGGCCAAACCTGGGGGGATTAAAGCATCCAAACAAATAATCAATCATCGTGATTGATGTTATCCCTAATAAAATAGGAATCCAGAAGTTTGCGTGGATCAAACAAGTGGATAAACAAGGAAAGAAAATAAAGCTCTGTCTTATAGTGGAATGCCAACAAATGTGGAAGGAAGGAATGACACCATCTAAAGGGACAACCATTCTGATCGTATTTAATTTCGTTAAGGAGCATCATTGTTTACTAAGTCAGAGGGTTTAAGGAGACTGATGATGGGATTTCGCTCAGTCTCAAGGTATCTCTCCACAAAATACTTACTGATTTAAAGAGTCAGAGGGGGACTAACTTTACAACAGGGGAGCTTGGCCAGCACCATTTTAATCACGTGAGTGGAGTGAGCCTTACAAATGAGCTTGACACCTGACAGGATGTCCCGTCCTGAGAAGAACCCAGCATCACTTCTTTGTTATCCTGACCAAAAATTATAACCTAAGGAAACACCAGACCAACCTAAACAAGGAAATCCTCTGCAAAATGCCTGGCCTGCCAACTTCACAGAGGTCAAGGGAAGAGGGGCAACTAGTCCAGGTTGAAGGAGTCTGGAGAGACGTGACGTCTACACGCGGTGTGCGGTCCTCAGTTGGATCCTCTGTTATAAAGGACAGTGAGGATTGAATGGGGTTTTCACGCAAAGGGTGTATTGAGGTTCTCTGCGCTGCCCTTAACACTTTCTGTATTTTGAAATTGTTTTGGAATTAAAGTAAAAAGAAAAAATAATGCAGTGTTACTGTAGACTGGCTATGTTACTTTTGACAAGTTACTTCACTTTCTATGCCTCAATTTCTTCATCTGTAAATAGGAAGATAATCCTGGCTACTTAAAGGATATTGTCAGGAATGGAAGAAATCGTGTGAGTGAAGCACGGGGTGTCCACTCTCTGGCCACATTGTGAAAACGCTTAGGCCGTGGTCATTATTCGTGTCATGTTCTTGTCAATATTGCACTGGGTTTCGTAGAATCTGGATGTCACCTAGTGTAAGACACGTTTTTGTTTTTGTTTTTTGGGTTTTTTTTTAGATTTTTATTTATTTATTTGACAGAGAGAGACAGCAAGAGAGGGAACACAAACAGGGGGAGTGGAAGAGGGAGAAGCAGGCTTCCTGCTGAACTGGGAGCCTGGTGCAGGGCTCGATCCCAGGACCCTAGGATCATGACCTAAGCCGAAGGCCAATGCTTAACCGACTGAGCCACCCAGGTGCCGTGACACGTTTTTGTTTTATATGCCACTGGGAAAATAAAAACATGCCCAATTAAACTGACAATGTGATTCCTCACTTAGAATGTTTCCTATTTATTGAGAGAGCTGCTTTATTTTTTAAATTTTTTTATTCCGATATAATTAACATACAGTGTTATATTCATTTCAGACATCCAATCGAATGATTCAACAATTCTATATATTCAAACAGAAGTATCATATGAGGGTGCCTGGGTGGCTCAGTTGGTTTAGCGTCTGACTTTGGCTGGGGTCATGGTCTCAGGGTCCTGGGGCTGATTCCCGCATCAGGCTCTGCGCTCAGCGGGGAGTCTGCTTCTCCTTCTGCCCCTCCCCCCACTCATGCTCATGCAGTCTCTCTCTCTCTCAAACAAATAAAGAAAGAAAATCTTTGAGGGGAAAAAAAAAAATGACACCAAAAATTCCTTAGGGATGATATACTGAGATGTTCATCACAGTGCTATTTAAAAAAAAAAAAATGGAAGTACCATTTGATCAGCAGTTCGTTCCACTTCTGGGTATATTCTCAAAAGAATTGAAAGTGGGGACTCAAACAAATGTTTGTACACTCATGCTCACAGCCCAGAGGGCCATCAACACATAAATGGATAAACAAAATATGGTGTAGCTGTACCATGGAATATTATTCACCCTTAAAAAGAAGGAAATTCTGACTCACGCCACAACGTGAATGAACCATGAAGCCATTGCAGTAAGCGCGATAAGCCAGACACAACAGGATACATATTGCACAACTGTACGTACGTGAGGCACGTGGGATGGTCACATTCATAAGGGCAGAAAGTAGAACAGTGGTCGCCAGGGGCAGGGAGGAGGGGGGTGGGGAGTTATTGTTGAATGGGAACAGCTCCCAGTTTGAGATGATGAACAAGTTCTGGAGGTGGACAGTGGTGATGGTTGCACAACAATGTGAATGAACTTGATGCCATGGAACTGTGTCCTTAAAAGCGGTAAAAATGGCAAATTCTATGTGATAGATAGTATACAGTTGTAAAAAACAGGCACTACGAATTTGCAGGGAGAGAAATCAGAGTAATAGTGACCTCTGGGAGGCAGTGATGGGGAGGGGGCACAAAAGGGCCTTCTGGCGTCTGGAATGTTCTAAATTTGATCTAGTGGTGGTTATATGAGTGTATAGATTTATAAATATGCACTGCACTGCACACTTAGGATTGGTGCACTTTAGTGTATAGAACTTAGAAATATTTTGCGGGGGAGGAACAGTGGTGGGGGGAGAGAATCTCAAGCAGGCTTCACGCCCAGTGCAGAGCCCTACGTGGGGCTTGATCTTACAACCCCGAGATCATGACCTGAGCGGAGATCAAGAGCCAGACACTTAACTGGCTGAGCCACCCAGGCGCCCCTAAAGTTTTGGGGGTTTTTTGGTGTTGTTTTTGTTTTTGTTCTGAGAGAGAAAGAGCGCAAGTGAGGGAGGGGGAAATATGTTAAATGCAAATACAATAGAGATTTTTTTTTAATTGTATGAGCAAAACTTCCTAAATCCTAGGAGGAGAAGAGCTAGCCTCCATGGCATGCAAGGCAGTTGTCCAAGAATCACAGAGCCAAGAAAAGCAGGCTTCCAGGAAACTAGGTGGGATCCATGCATTGCCCACCCTTTTCATCAGAACCCCGCTGAGTAACCACACGCTCCACCTCCCCTGTGGGATCTCACTCCCAGATCAGAGGCACCCCCTCAAGAACATGATGAAGCTTTTCTTGTTCTATTTGCTTGTCTTGTTGTTGCTTGCTTGTTTTTATATCGTTGGTAACTTTATTTTTAAAAGCTGAACACTGTTAAATTCTGATGTTCTGGATTCAGGCCACCTCACTGCTGAGTCCTGGTCATGCCTGTCTATCCGTGCTGGTCACACAGGGAGCCCGGAGGCTGGGGGGCACTTGACCCACCCAAGGAAGGGGTATGACCCGCGCTGTCAGGAGCTCAGCCCAGGTGCCGGAGTAGCCAGTTACAGCCACAAACCTCAGGGAAAGAGGTAAATAAGCCTGAATCCCTCGTGGATGGAATAAGCCAGGCTGTGCCCCCGGGGAAAGCACCGACCCCCCTTTTCCATCTTCCCTATAGAATGGAGTAGTGGGTGCTAGGATCCTCTCGCTGTCGAGGGAGCCAGAACAGAAGGCTCCAGACATTTTACGGAGGCGGGGGGTCAGGGGAGGGTGAGGGCGAGGGTTTGGAGTGGAAAGAACAGGGTGCTGAGTCAGAGTGGGGAAGAGTGTCTTCCAGGTGCCCCTTGAGAAGAAGACCTCTGCTCGAGGCCTCCAATGCAAATATGTGAAAGAGCATGACCGGCCGGGGGCCACACCTCCCTCAGAGGGGCCCTCAGACAAGGCACAGTGTGCCCCAAGGCTGGTGTGGGAGGGCAGCTTCCCCCACAGGCCTGCCCAGGAAGGCTTTGTGATCGCCTCCGGCCAGGCCTAGAAGACACACACAGGTTGTCAACCAGGAGCCAGATTCCTCACGGGTGTGGGCCCCCTGCCCTCTCTTGGTGGGCAAGGTGAGGGAGGGGTGACCCTCCCTCAAGGTGACAAGACGGAGCTTCTCAAGCTCCCGGGCAGCAGAAATGCCCCACAGCCTGGAGAGCCCAGCGTCCAAGTGGGCCTCCTTGGGCGTCAGGGCTCCCACCGCACAGGAGCACCCCAGCCCCCAGGAGGGCCTCTCTCCTCCCAACTAGGCTCCCAGGTCCTGCAGGTACCACTCTGCCCTCCAGCATGGGCTTTTTCCACCCTTCCCACCCGCCGTGGGGCATTCCCAGCCATTCCTGGCCAGGCAAGCCCTTCCTGGAAGGTCCCGGCCCCCCGCCCCTCATCCCTGCCCCTGTCACTGCACCCTCTTCCCTGGGAGGTGTCCTCTCCCCTCACCAAGTCTCTGCCCCGTGGAAATGGCACCGCTTTTTCTTTCTGCCCGACTACAATATGGCTCATGGAGCACTGAGTGTCTTTATTTAAAATTTCATACTTCGTTTGTTGTGGATTTCTTGCATTATTTTTTACCATATTGCACTAAAATACTCTTTATTACAATCACTGAGTGTTTGGGTACCCCCTCACATTTTCCGCCCAAGGATGTGTCTCACTCACATTGCCTTAGCCCCAACCCTGCTGTGCTCCGCAGTCATTCATTATTCCCCCCCAGGGTCACTAAGAGCCTCCTCTGTGCCCGGGCACGTGCTGGGTGCCGGGCATAGAAACGCGAACCACACATAAGGCCGTGTTGGGGAAAGACAGCCACGCACACTGAGGACTGTGGGACAGGATGGGGGGTGCAAGACAGAAGGACACCAGGGAAATCACAGGAACACGGGCTAACACGGGTAGGGGGGCATCCGGCTCTGAGCATCTCATGCAGCATTTCATTTGATTCTCTCGACAGCTGCTTGTAAGTGAGGAACAGGTGGGAGTCCCGAGACCCCACGAAGTCACACACCGCCACCCGGTGATTTGCACAAGGTCACACTCTGCGCGGTCATAGAGGTGGGAGCCCGCCCGGCAGCGCTATCTGGCTCCAGACCGGTGCCCACTCTGGTTATCGCCGCCAATTCCCCCTGCATCCCCCGGGGGCGTCAGGGAGGGAGGGCTGCATGAAGCAACTTGGCGCGGAGCTCACGGAGATGCGCAGGAGTGAATAGGGAGCAGTACTTGTGGCCGAAGGAACAACATTTGCAAACTCAGTAAGGCCTAAAAAAAAAAATCGATATCTCGGTGTCCACAGTTCTCAGAAGCTGGGCCATCTTGTGAGGAGTCACAGAAACCGGCCTGGCCTGGTGTCGCTTCCTCTTTCTGCTTCTCTGTTTCCTAACGACGGCGTCAGCATAAATAGGAAGCGTGAGAGGCTCCCTGTTGCCTGGACACTCTGGCAGAAGGCTGAGCAGTCCCCCCGTGAAGAGGTACGTTCTGGCTTTCAGGGGTAGGCTCAAGGGGAGGGCTGGGGGAGCAGGGGGTGTCTGGGCTGGGAACCGAGGACAAGCAGAGCCTGGGGGTGTGGAGTGGGCAGGTGTGGCTCTGGGACTTGGGGAGCCAGGGGGCGAGGAGACAGCCCGAGTGTCCGTGTGAAGGGCTGTAAGGGTGGGGAGCTCACCTGCGGGGTCCCCTGTCCTGGCAGCAGGGAGGACGCCAGGGGAGGTGGAGAGCTCTGGCCTGGGAGTCACACACTTGCGGCATCTTTGCTTTGCTACGAAAGTGTCGCTAAGATGTTGGTGGCAGTGAGAACATCCTCTCCCTGCCCCCTGGTTTCTGCCTCCTGGTCTCTGGGATGGGAAGAGCTCCGATAGTCCCTGACACCCTGGTTTAGAAAGGGAGAGTGGGAGAGCGAGGGCGCGGTCGCGCTTGTGGGTGTGGGTGTGTCGTGGGGATGTAGGGGTGCAAAGAGACTGGGAGGCAGAGGGGGAAACCTGGAACTTTGTCAGGCTGCGGCCCAGAGCTTGGTGTGGCTTTGGAAGCTCACTTTGGAAGATGAGAAAGGGCCCGGTCCCCTGCGCAGGGACTTTCTTTTCCCCCTGGAAGAAAGTGTTTTGGCTGGCATACTCGGCCCCGAGCCTCTGTTGCTTTGTGGGGTTCAGGCCCAGGTGTGGGTGTTCTGTACCCAAGTGTGCGGGCTGGCGGGGTGCGGGGCTGGGGTGGGGGCGGGGGCGGAGAGATGTCTAGGTGTAGCTGCCGCGGGGTGCGGGGTGTGCGCGGGTGCATGCATTTGCCCTGGGGATGGGGGTGCAGGTTACCTCTGGTCCGCACGGAGGTCCGAGCCTGTGGGGCCTCTCCAGTCAGGCCCAAGTGACAAGTTGCAAATGTCCAGTTGCTATAGGGTCTTCAAAGACCCTAAAGCAATTTTGTATCACCAGGTTCTGATTTTCTCGACTCCTCATCTTTCCTGCTTTCTAATCGTTTTATAAGGAATGAAACCTTTTCTGTTCGCTTTTTTTTTTAAGATTTTATTTATTTATTTATTTGAGAGAGAGAGAGAGAGAAACAGCATGAGAGGGGATAGGGTCAGAGGGAGAAGCAGGCTCCCCGCCGAGCCGGGAGCCCGATGCGGGACTCGATCCCAGGACTCCGGGATCATGACCTGAGCCGAAGGCAGTCGCTTAACCAACTGAGCCACCCAGGCGCCCTCTGTTCGCTTTTGATCACTCTTTTTCTCATTCATCAGTTCTCCTGTGCCATACCCACCAATACTACAGGATAGTTGAGTTGTTTGATGAGCGTATTTAATACTAAGTGACTACGTGGGTATCTGCTTTATCAACAGTTAGAATGATCCAGAATCATGTAACACAAAAGAGAACACGCCAGTTATCTCTATCCCCTGGTACCAAAACATCTTCTGAGCATGCTGCAAGTATAGAGTTTTCCTTTGTACATAAATGGGATTATAATATACATATCGCTCTTTGACTTATTTTTTTCACCTAATATTACATTTAGGACAACGTTCCGCAATAACACATATAGATTTAACTCATTTATTAACCCTAAGAAATAGGTGGCATTAATTAGTAGCGGTACACCACAGGTTACCCGATCCCATATTAATATACATTTAGGTTGTCTCCAATTTTTCCACACCCGCCAAAGTGTTTCTTTTGCAGCCCACATGTCTAGAAGCAGAATTGCCAAGCAAGAGGTTGTGCATTTAAAAATTTAATAAATATTGTCAGATCATCTCAAAGTAGCTGAATTAACATATACCCTCACATTCTTGCATGAAAGGCCATTTTTGGCGGGGGCAGGGAGATGATCAGTCTTTAAACTGTGTCCGATGGATGGATGAAAATGATCTGATTCTTGCTTGGATTTTTCCTTTCCCTGATTATGGGTGAAGTTATGCATCTGCCATATATGTTCGTTGGCCATCCGGGTTCCTTTTATGAAATGTATGGAGATGTTTTGTCCATTTTCTTACAGGTTCTTTGCCTTTTACGTATTTACTGTAGGTGTGGCTCATTTATTAGGTTTATTAACAGTGTATTTACATATGTTTTAAATATGTTTCCAGATAATCACTTGACTTTTTTCTTTACCATGTTTAAGATATCTTGTTTCATATAAAAGTGTGCTAGTTGCTTCTAACTCAAATTTATCATTGTTTTTCCTTTATGCTTTTTGGATTTGGTGTCTTCTTCAACCCCTAAGGTTAAGGAAATACTTGAAATGTTTTTACCATTTCAGTTTTGACTTTTAGATCTTTAATTCACCTGCAATTTGGAGGGGCAGGTAATACATAAAGTAGTAATCTAACTTAAAAAAAAATTATCAGCTGTCTCAACATCATATTTATGAGTATGTAGCCTCCATGGTTAGAAATGCCACTCTTACCTCCCAAATTCCTACTTGGTTATTTTCCTTACTGTTTTCCATTCCATCTGTCTACGATTACATTCCCCATTATTTTTCTGGCTAAAGAACCCGTCTCTCCTGTTTGGTTTGTTATAATCTAGAATCAGTTTGTCACGCACAGTAAAAATCCTTTTGGAGTTTTGATTTAGATTGCATTGAATTTAGAGATTATTGGGGGGAAGATTGACCTCTGGAGATGGCAGTTGTGGTCAGCCTTCCCCTGTTTGTTCCTTTGACGAGAAGAACACGAACATTTTCCTTTTGACTCTGATGTCACTACAGATTTGTAGTAGATGCCCAGAAATGCCAACGTTCCCTTCAATGTCTCCTTTGCCGAGGTTCATCTGTTCGTTTGTTTCATCGGAAGGGCTTTTGTATTATCGAATATTGAGAAGTATCTGTCAAGATAAGCTGATCCTTTTTTCCCTTTTAATCTGTTGGCCTGTTTCTTTTAATCATGAAGAGATGTCTTAATGGCTCTTCATCCGTTTCTGGAATAATCCCCATGTGGCCATGATGCATTCTTCTTTTAAACATCTTTGTCAGATTGTTCCATGACATTCTTTTTGTCTGGAATGAATTTGTGTTTTGCTTTTTTTTTTTTTTCCATCTCCAGTTTTTATTCCTACCATTAAATTTCTTCACGAGTTTGGGAATTTTGGTATGCATGTTTGTTTTGAGTGAAAAGTTGTTTGCTTTTTCTCTTCTCTTTTCTCCCTCTCCCTATCAGTCTTTTGCTCCCATGCTTTCCTCTCACTCTTAGTGGTTTTTAATCCTTACATATTTTTTTAAAGATTTTGTTTATTTATTTGACAGAGAGAGAGAGACAGCGAGAGAGGGAACACAAGCAGGGGGAGTGGGAGAGGGAGAAGCAGGCTTCCTGTTGAGCAGGGAGCCCGATGTGGGGCTCGATCCCAGGACCCTGGGATCATGACCTGAGCCGAGAAGGCAGACGCTTCACCGACTGAGCCACTCAGGCGCCCCGATTAACCCTTACGTTTTTAACACACGTATTTAATGTATATTTTCCCTCTGCTTTTGGGTGTAATTAACATACATATGCTTCTCCAAACAAGACATGATCTTTAGCTTAGCAAGCTTTCAGTTCTCCTTTGCTTTCCACCCCTAATCTGACAGCCAACTCCCACATTACGATCATCTATGTTTTACTTCAATATTGTGATTGTGAATTCACTTATTTTCACTTTATAAATAACAATTCTTTACTCAGTATAAATCTTATTGGCTTCTTTTCTTACCACTAATTTCAATATCATACACTATCTTTCTTGGACAGTTTTTCTTTTTCCTGAAATACATCCTAGAGTAATTGTGTTCCTCAGAAAAGATCTGAAATTTTTCTTTGTCTTACATTTCCAAAATGTGTTTTTCTGCCCTCAAGTGTCAATGTAACTTTGACTTTTTCAATGATTCTAGGCTTAAACATATTTTCCCTCAGTATTTTCAAGACATCATTATCTATTTAGAGTTCAGGATCACTTGTGAGAAAATCTGACCAACCTGACCCTTATTCCATTGAAAATAATGCTTGTTTACTTCTGGAAGCTTCTAGGAGTATCCTTTTATTCTTGAATGGCCAAAAGTTTACCAGCATGTGATTGAGTATGGCATTATTAAAAATGGAGTTTGCCCTTCACTTACTGGACTGTTGTCTCCTTTAAGCCCTGTGAAGTTTTCTTCTATTTCCAGTTGCATCTGTTTTGTCCCCAAACAATGGTGGCTTAACAATATGGAAGGTTTTTTTTTTTTTTTTTCTCACATAAAAGATGTCCAGAGGTAAGCACTCTCAGGCTGGTATGGTTGCTCCACCGTGACAAGAATGATCCAGGCTTCCCTCTTTCTGTTGCATTGGGCTCCATCCTTAAGGTAACCTTATGGTTCAAAACGGCTTCTGGAGCTCCAGCCATCACTTCCAAGTTGTAGGCTGAAAGAAGCAGGAGAGGCAGGAGGGCAAACATGGAGCCTCCTACCTGAGCCAACTCTCTTTAAGAAGCCTTTTCTGGATGGCACACCCAGTGTTTCCACTCACATCTCCCTGGACAATATTTAGTGACATGACCATACCTAGCGATAAAAGAGAGTAGGAAATGTAATCTTTTATTCTGTGTAGCACCAAGCCAAGCTGAAACTTGAGTTTCTTTTACCAAGGAGGAAGGGGACAGCTCAGAAGCTGACACTGTCTGCCACATGGTTTGCAAGTTTAATATGATTTAACTTCTTATATTTAAATTTGTAACTAACTTGATATTTGGGGATGGTGTGGGGTAGAGATTTAGGTGGATATGTTTTACAATGTTATTCAAGTATCTTAGCACTTTTTATATTCCATTCCTTCGCATTGATTCATGAATCCTCCATCATGTAGTACATTCTCGGGTAGAATAGAATTGCGTGGTCGTTATGTCCATTGATCTATCGTGTGTGTGCAACACACTGCTTTACTTACCGGATCTTTACAATAAATTTTGCTATTGGGGAGAGCCTCCTCGTTTTCAAAAATCTCATTAACTGTCCTCACATATATTTTTTTTTCCGAGTTCCTGTAAAAAACTTCATGTTAAATTTTCTTTGGAATTGTATTAAACCTCTAACTTATTTTAGGATGAATCACTCTCTTTACATATGTAGTATTTCTACTTGTGGTAAGATCCAAATGGAAGCTCTGGGGTTTTAGGCTATTTCCAGGTAGGCAAACCAAGCTGTACCAGCCACAAGGACCCACACCCTTACCCGGTGGCATTGCCCCCATCTGTAGGTACTGAAGTGGACAAATACTCTCCTCTCCCAGCTCCAAACAAACCCACTCTTCTTTCCTGGGCCTCTTTTTTTTTTTTTAAGATTTTATTTATTTATTTGAGAGAGAGAGAGCTTGTACACAACCTGGGGGAGGGGCAGAGAGAGAGGGAGAAGCAGACTCCCCACTGAACCCAACCCAGGGCTTGACCTGGGGCTTGACTTAGGGCTCAACTCGGAGCTTGATCCCAGGTCCCTGAGATCATGACCTGAGCTAAAGTCAGATGCTTAACAGACTGAGCCACCCAGACACCCCTTTCCTGATCTTTTATTGGACTAACCGCTCTGTAAACATCACCGCGGTGGGTTCCTCTCATGTGAGATATGTGTTTGTACCCATGTTACTGGTGCAGAGAACAAGGTTCAGGGTGCATTGGTGGTCAACCCAGGTCACTGGCCTGGGAGAGCCTGAGCCTGTGCTAAAGGCCAAGTCGGCTGTGTCCAGAGCTGTGCTTTTCCCAGTAGGACAGTTGCTGCTTTGTGCGTGTGTATATATATGCTTCGTGAAGTTTCAGACCATCTTACAGGGAGAAAAGGAGCCGCTGTCCTCTGCTCTGCTCCACTCTCCTGGGTACTTCCCAGGGCTAGACGAAATGAAAAGAGGAAATCCCCAACCTTCTGCAGAGAAAGGGGAACGGGCATTCTGAGGGCGGTGTGGGAGGGATGACAGTAAATGGAGGGAGGGCGGGACAGCACGAGGCCCTGAGTGTGTGTGCGCACGGTGTGAGCACGCGTGGGATCCCACCCAGGGGAGGGCACTGTGGACGCCACACTCTGTGATTGCTCTAAGCAGATCAGGTCAGGGCCCTCAGGGAGCTCAGAACAAATCAAATACCAGGGCTCCCTCCCAGGTCTTCCCATGGCCAGGGGATTGTACAGGAGTTCCTGGTGCATGACCAGGTGGGTACCTATTTCTGCAGAAGCCATTAAATGCATCGCCCTCACAGTCATGCCCTAGGCACTGAGGCTAAGCGGAAGGGCCTGCCCTGGGTGCCAGGCTGAGGTGGCAGGGGGTGCTGGAGCCCATGCATCACTCCTGGGTTCACTCTGCAACATGGGCCAAGTCCTGGGGCTACAGGATAGGAGGGGCCCACTCTCAGCTGGAGTCTCTTCTCCAGGCAGAATCCTGGAGAGAGGATTCACAGGAGCTGGGGACATGGGTCTGGCCTGGCCTCCAGCCGGGGATGAATGAAAGATTCCAGGCCAGTGAGGACCCCAGCCCCTGCGCAGCGCTGGACCTACTTGAGCTGGCCACCTGCTAATCCAGAGCTGTCCCAGAGATGGTGCCACCCTGGGTGCTGCTCCCCGTTGTCTTGCTGGCTCTGTTCTGGGGGCCCAGTGTGGCAGGGGCCCAAGGTGAGCTCCATTGCTTCCTCTCCGTTCCTAGCCCCTCCTCACAAGCCGGTCCTTGAGCAAGGCCACCCCCACATGTCCCCCAGGAAGCCCCCAGACCCCTCCCTCCCTCCCTCCCTCATTTTCCCCTTCCTTGATCCTCTCTGGCACCCCCCGCCCGCCTCCTGGATTCTCATCCTTCTCCAGCCTCCTGAAAGTCCATCTCTGCTTATGTGGCTTCTCTGTCCACACTTGTCCGCCTGGCACTCGAGCCTTCTCACCTCCAGGCTGGTTGTTCCAGCCTTATGTCTGCCCCCAGCCCACCCCAGATACTCTGCTCCCCTGACGGCCTTGACCAGTTCCCTCCTTTGTGCCTTCGTTCCTGGGTGCCCTTAGACTGGTGGTCTCTCCCTGCTTCGGCCCCGGCACCCTCCTCCTGCTCGGAGGCTCTGCTGGGTTGTTCCTCTGGCTCCTGAGGCCCACAAACCCCCTCCCCAGGGGCTCCCAGAGAACACGGCTTCTCTGGTAACCCCGAGAACCACATTCCATTTCCCAGCACGAGGCCCTGCAGCTGACCAAGAGCCCCGGGCCGGGGAGGTCCCACGGGGCTCTGTCGTGCTGACTCTTCAGGGTGGGCATGTGCCTCTCCTCCCAGGCTGCTCCAAAGGCCCGGGCCTGAAGCATGTGTCCCTCGTGGGGTGGGAGGGAGACCCTTTCCAGGAGCAGAGCACAGCAGGGGCTTAGGAGATGTGCCATGCTGACTAGAATGTGGTGTTTCTCTCTGGGCAGGAGAGTCCACGGCCAGGGAGGGCCCTTGTACCCACAGAACCTCTGTCCCCCTCAGGGCCCCCAGGGAGCTCTGCCTAGCAGCCAGTAGCCCCTGTAGGACTCTGGGAAACCCCTCCCCAGCTCTGGGCATCGCAGAGGGGCTGGGAGAGGAGGTGACAAGGGACATCTTGAGGGGAGAGATGTGACCCCCTTTGTGCCTCTCCCTGGGCAGACACTGTCCCGCTGCAGACCCTGAGCTGCTATAATAACTACAAGAGCCACATCACATGCAGGTGGGCAAGCACTCAGGACGCCCAGCGGCTCATCAACCTGACTCTCTACCGGAGGCTGAATGAGTGAGTGACACCAGAGCCCAGGGGCCGGGGGACAGGGAGGGTTGCTGCTGTGTGGGGCTGTGCCAGGTTGGGGGACGCACCGAGGGCCAGGAGGGGGAGGCCCCAGCCCCAGCCCAGGAGCTCCTGCTCCATTAGGCAGCCTGCCAGGCCCAGGTGCTGGTGTCTGATGTCGGGGTTTTGGGAAGAGTCTTCTACATTAACCTTGCCGTTGATGACAGTGGTGGCGATAATCTTATTTCATCACAATTGAACACAATTGCCCTGCAAAAGTCGATGTTAGATTGTCTTCACTGTGAGGTGGGCAGGGCATGGGTATGATGCCCAGTTCACAGACACGCAAACCGAGGCTGCAGAGGTGAGGTCCCTCTCCCGACCACAGGGCAGCTGACCAGCCGAGTGGGGACCAATGCCCTGTGTCTGGCATGGGGGGCTGGCCTCCATGCCGCCTCCAGAGTGTGGGTTTTCTCCTTCCCCTTCACATGGTCTCCGGGGTATATGCCATTTGGGAAGATTCCTTGCACCGTCCTGGGGTCTGGGGACAGTCTAACTCACAGTAATAGAAATAATTAACTGGCTGGCATCGCAGGTGCAGGGAGACCCGCTGGAGGCCAGCCCTGGGGAGGAGCGGCTCCTCACACCCCACAGCAGTGCCCCTCAGCCCTCTCTCCCGCGCTCCTGGGAGCCCCCATCTTCCCGGCTCCACCCTCCTTGCACTCCTCTACC